TGATGGGCTAATCTTGCATCTGCCCACAGTCCCTGGGTGTTACAAGGTGGCTTGGCCCAGGGACCACTTAGGATAAGTGTTGGGCCCATAGAACCCATTCGATGGGTTTTAGGGGGTGCACTGTCTTTAACAGTGTATTCGGCCAGGCCTTGTAACAAAGGCTGGGTCGAACTCATGTGGTTGGTGTGTAGATCAATGCTTGGGTCTCACGTCATACAAGGAAGCCCAACTGGGCAGCAGTTAGGACGGTTAAGTGAGCACATAAGCCTAATGGGCCTAAAGCCCATTTCGAACTGGGCTATTCATTTAGTAAATTAAAGGGGCGAATTCTGAGATAGATTAGCAGATATGATAGGGTCTTAATCCTATCCACTCAGAGAGTCCAGATCTGAATGTGATTCAGATCTAGAAACCTCCTAATGAGATTAGGAGAAAGCTAATCHAATMTGCAGATAAGATAAGGGTTTATCCCTATCACCTAAAGAGAGATCTTATCCAAATATGATTTGGATAAGCTGCTCCTAATTGGATTGGGAGCTGATATTTCTAGGTTAACAAAAGGAGAAGGGGGCGGCAACCTTTAGAAAAGACATCAGATTTTCTTTAGTGCAAAAATCAAGAAGAGAGAATTCTGCACCCTGCGAATACTCTCTTGCCACCTTCTTGTTCTTTCCGCCCTGTTTTCCAGTTCGATCTCCACTTATGGGAGAAGTCAAGATTAGATCTTGACATTAGTTCTATGAGAAAGGATTGAAAGGAAGCTGTGCTCACGTACCATTCTACTGATTCTTGCGAAGGACAGAGTTCTTAGGAAGAACACTGTTGATTCTACTCCATCCTGCACTGCGCCATCTTCAGTGGGAGCAGTCTTTGGATCCTTCCTTGGGCGTGAACACCTCCGTTGGGAGATAYTACTTCTCCATATCAGGTATAATYCTCTCCTACTCCTTTTTGTTCAGATCTGATTCAGTTTAAGGTTCAAGAATGATCCTTGAAAATATGATTTTGTAAATAGGGAATGCGATTCCCAGTTGAAGGGAGAGAAAAATTTTTGAATTTCGCCCCTTATTCCGCAATCTTTGGGCGTCCATGGGATGGATCTCTCATCCCTTCATACGAAAGACCCAAAATGGAGGTGGGTTGGGAGGAGAGGGCAACAAAACATGTCTCTATTTCTCCTCACTTGGATTCTCCCCCTGAGGAGAAGCAAGAAAGAAAGGCACATCTTTAAAGAAAGAAACATCCATAAATACAAAGTACTTTTTGGAAATAGGGTCAAAGGAATGATAAC